CAGGGTGTATTAGGGAGGTGTAAAAGGGAGCACGGCTTCACAGGTTGCTCATGCCTGCTACAACCAATCTCCATTGGCATCCATTGTGAAGAGGATCATCTTTCTGGCAGGCAAAGGAGAACCTTCTCTTGCGTTCTTCCCAGACTCTAAATTGCCTTCTGTCCAAAGCTGAATTTGCTTTTCATTCCCTTGGCAATAAGGCAATCAGAACATTGTTGAAAGAAAAATGTTCAGTGTCCAGTCCAAGCTGGGAATAAACAAAATGGAGACTGCTTTAGAAAGAAGGTTGTAGTTTATTTTTTATTTTATTTTTTAAAAAACAAGTTTTATTAGTTTTTTCATTTTACAAACAAGTGCTTAAGAATCAACGTGGGGGCAGGGCAATCAATTGTCCACAAACAAAGTCATACTCCTAAAGTTCAGATTAAATCATTAAAAAACCCCTCTCTTTTCCCTCTAATAACATATTATATTCAAGTTAATGTATTTCAATATAACTAAGTCAATCAAAACAGTCATCAATAACCTTTTTTCTAAATAAATCTAATCCTATATTAAGCTTTACTATTTCAAATGCTATATTCGATATTGCTAATATAAATACATGATTAACACTTCAGGTGTCTCTCCATTCCCTTTTTCCTTAACATAATCAATAATCATTTATTAATATCATTCCTTTTTTCTTAATAACATTTCATTTAAATAAATCCAAATCCTGTATTAAGCTTTACTATTTCAGTTACTATATTCCATATTTCTAATCTAATTACATAATTAACACTTCGGGTGTCTCTCCATGACCTTTTTCCTTAACATATTCAATAAACATTTATTAGTATCATTTCTTCTTTTTTCTTATTCTTCTTCCATTACAGAATAGCTATCATTTCTAATAAAAAAATATTAGTTCAAAAAAGAAAAGAGAAAAAAAGGAACAAAAAACAAAAGAAAAACAAAGACAAAACAAAAAATAGAAGAAAGAAAAATACCTTTCTATTTCTATTATACTTTATAATCTATCAATAAATCCCTTAATATCTGTAACAAATTCCTTTAACCTCCTCCCAAAATTACTATATCCACAACAAACATATTAATACATAGACAAACATCTTAAATTCAGACCTTTAATTAATTTTTATTCAATCTAACATCTTATTTAACTGTCTTAAGCCATAAATCAATCCATATCTAGTAAGCCTTTTAAATCCGTTACATAAAACCTTAAGTCACACTCTTAAATCTTATTCTAGCTTTCTTTTTATGCCAGACAGGTTTCCATAACAATGCCTCTATATCAATGAACAGGTCACTTTTATTGCCTTGTAGTATCCTTTGGATCAAACAAAAGCGTCTCCTTTTCTGTTTTAGAGACCTAGCTCCTTTGTAAGTAATCCCGTAGTTGTAGTTTATTGAAGAGTAGAGCCAGACAGAAATGAGGCACTGGGAAAGTTGACCACATGTAGCTGGGAGTGGTGGGCTTTTATACCTTCTTGGGCGTTTGTGTTTGAGGTTCTTCCTGTTTGAGGCTGTTCCTGTGTCATGAACTTTGACCTGAGATTCAGTGTGCCCTTTTGGTATTCTGATGGTGGTGGATTAATCCTATTATGTCCTAAAGGTCATGTCCTGCTTCTCTGGGGCTGTGGCTGATGGCTTTGTCCTGTGCTGGATTTTTGGGCGAGGGGTTGCTGGTTCTTATCCTATCACTCTGTTGTTATTAGCTATCAAATCTTACTCCAGGGGATTTTGAAGATACTGTCTTGAATGAGCTATCTATAGGTAGTATTTGCTCATGAATGGGCCTCAGTCTTTCTGAATGGGATTATCAAATCCGCATTTTTACAGACCTGGCCCCTGAATTTCTGGCTGGGGCTATTAAGAAAAACTGGGCCTGTTTTTCTGCCTTTAAGATCCTTTGGGAAAGTATAATATTCTGTCTTTTTAATATTCCACAAAATATTTCCTTCTCGGGGGGAGTGCTGTGCTTTCACAACATGCATATCTCTTTTGACAGACTTTCTGTTGTTAATGAATTTAACATTAATTTTAGGAGTAATGTTCTTAACTATTTAGTTTCTGGGTGGTTTCTTTTAACAAAAAAATCCTAGCTGCCTCACTTCTTGAACAGAAATGTGGAATACAAAGCCAATGAACTGCTACAAAATGTAAAACGATTCTGGGATTTTGTCATTATTCTTTTGTGAATTTTTGCAAGATTTTAGCTTTTTCTAGTTTACTAAATGTTCTAATTGTTAATGTAATTTTGGGTGCTTTGTATGTTGCTTGAGGAGCAACAGTCAAAGTATTTCCTATATCCTCCAAAATGCCTTCCTTATGTGAAATGGGAAGCAACACTAAGGCACTTGATTATTATTTTTTTCTGTTTTATTGTGGGAGCAACCATTCCATAGCACTTACAGTTTTTGAGTGAGATTATTGTAGTGAATTAGCAAGACTTCAGGACTGTAGATTTCTGCAGAGACAGTTGTGCTCAGTCCAATCTGAGATAAAAGATGGGGATATTTTTTTTCCTGTAAGTTTATTTGCTTACATCAAATTTTTCAGATTATTTTCTGTCTCTGTGCTTAGCCATGGGATGTAACTGGGGAAACGTTACCACCATCACCATCTTCTTGCTTTCCTCTCATATAGGAGAAAATGGTTGTTTTGTATACACAAAGCAAGGCAAAGTACCAAACGTTCCATTTTTAGTTTTGTTAGTCATTCGAATCTTGTTGCCTAACTCCCAGGTTTGTTGCTTTCATCACATTTTTCGGGTACAAGAAAAATAGTTTTGAGGACCTCTACTAAATTTGGCTGCAGGCTTCCCAACAATAATTACAGCAGCCAACTACTTGTGTATTTCTTCTGTGTATCTCAAACATCTCATTTAGATGCTTCTGAATGATTGATACTTCAGGATGTCTGCACAGACTGGTCAACCATCTTTCTGTCTTTTTCTGCTCTACTAATCAGGCCAACCTGGGATAATGCAGCAGTCACTGCTTTCAGATGGAATTTGATACTACCACCCCTTTTTCTTTCCATGACTCAGGAATATAAGAACAAAACCAAAAGGGGAGGGGAAATCTTTTCTTTTCCTACCAATTAAAAAATCCCAGGTCAGCATAAACATATAATCTAGTAATACGTTTGGGGAAGCTTTGGCATTCTGAGGCAAGCTCCCCTACAATTGGCATCAAAGCTATCTGTTTAAACAGTTCTGAAAGTTTTAAAATTACAACAACAAAGAATACCATAGATGGCTGTTAAGGTAGAAAAAAAAGAGACTTAAGAATAGGTAGGTGCATCCAAGGTATTAAGTTTTTTGACAGAAACTAGGGTTAAGCTCACACTAAACAAAATCAAACCCTAAAGAAAATCAAATTCTCTCTAGTACTCACTGCAGCTAGAAATTTCTGTGAGCCCAATTTCTTCCTGAGTCCTGGAAGAAATTACAGTGTGTTCCAAGGGGGAGTCAAAAGAAAAAAAAAGTCTCCATTAAACTCCTGATTTGCTATCTAACATCAAGAGTGGCTAATCATTTTTTTTTCCTAGAGATGTGAAGGTTTAGTTTACCACTCATTGTGGATGCTTTTCTTTCTAACTGGAATATTTAGAATTCACACTGTTAGAGGTACCTGTCACATCTCATTTTGAATTCAACACTATTAGCATGCAGATCAGAAGATAATCTGGACGAATAATGAGGTTTTTTTTGTTTCCCCTTTCTCCTGAAGTTTCTCTGTATCAGTCCATTCTATTCCCTCGTGACCCATCCCATCCCTGAACAAAATGAATATAATATTTGTTTAAGATGCTTGCTAGGATTACTTCAGCAATCATATAATGTATTTAATTTGGTTTGCAACAGTTCCTTAGTGAAAGTAAATACTCCTAGAATGGAATGGAACAGAACGGAATGGAATAATAACTTTATTGTCACTTTGAATGTACACTAATTGGTATACATTAAAATAACATTTCATTGCATACAGCTCTCAAAGGGTCACCATCTCCAATATACACTACATAAAATGACAAAAATAAATAAATAAATACAGAATTATGCATATACCCACATACACTATATGATACAGAGAAACAACAGTCTTTCTGTGTATTACATAATATAAAGATAGTCCTCACTTAGAACCACAATTGGGCCCAAAGTTCTTGTTGTTAAGCAAGACAGTTAAGTGAGTTTTGCCCCATTTTACAACTTTTCTTATTTCAGTTGTTAAGTGATTCATTAGAGTTATTAAGCTAGTAACAAAGTTGTTAAGTGAATTTGGCATCCCATTATAAATATAAACCAGTTGCCAAGCGTCCTAATTTTGATAATGTAACCAGTGGTGGGATTCAAATACCTGAACATCCGGTTCTCTGCGTGGATGCCGGCCTGGGCCTCCAAGGCCTGGAATGGAGTTCCGGAAGTGACATCCATGCACTTCCTGTGGGCTGTTCTAGGCCTGGGAGGCCTCCTCCAGGCCTCCAAGGTCTAGAACAGACTTCCGGAAGTGACATCAACGAACTTCTGGCAGGCTGTTCTAGGCCTGGGAGGCCTCCACCTGGCCTAGAACAGACATCCAGAAGTGACATCTATGCGCTTCCGGTGGGCCCTTCTAGGCCTGGGAGACCTCCAGGCCTCTGAGGCCTAGAACAGACTTCCAGAAGCAGCATGGGTTCAGCCGGTTCTCCGAAATTAACAAAATTTAGCTACCGGTTCTACCTGTGCGAACTGGCTGAATCCCACCACTGAATGTAACCCTGGGGATGCTGCAATGGTCGTAAGTGTGAAAAATGGTCATAAGTCACTTTTTTCAGTGCTGTTGTAACTTCAAACAATCACTAAATGAATGGTGGTAAGTTGAGGATTACTTATATCTACCCAATTTTGGATGATAAATACTTCTTTATAATTCTTATTATCTGGAAATCATTGTAGAATAATAGGAAAATGTGCAAATTTCCCTGTGTGATATGTTTGCAGCAATATTCGGGACAGAACTCAAACGGGCCACATACTTGGAGATCCTTGGAAAAGGGATCCAGTGATCACACCAGAGAGGGAGTTGTCTCCAGCTGCCCTAATTCTGATTCGCTTGCTCACTCATTTGGCATTGCTTCTGGGAGCCTCAAATGATGTCCAGGTATTTGTTTTGCACAGAAATTGCAACTTACCTGCTTTTTTCTGAAATGCACTATACACAAACAGACGATGACTTATCTAAAATGGAATTACTTTTAAAAAATCAGGTTTTCTCAGTATTATGAAAAGAAATAATTATAGATGCTAAGAATACAACGTTATAATAGTAACCATGTTATAGTAATATAGTACTAATTATAAAATAACAATTTCATTAAAGCAGCATAACTACAATTCTGTGTTTAATGATCATGGAGCATAAGACGCCCTGGGTCCTGCCACTGTTCCATGCATGCTTCAAAGTTGCCAGGAAGCAAAGTGGAGACCATGATCTTCTAGAGCAGAGTTTTTCAAACTTGGCAACTTTAAAATGTGTACACCCATCCAGCATGCTTAAAGTTTCCAAGTTTGAAAATCACTACTCTGGATGATAGTTTCCTTTCCCTCAGATACTTGGCTTCACTTCTTTCACACCCATCCTGCTTTCAAAAGTGGCCTGCATAAGTCCACCTTACACTAGAATTAGCTGCAAATGTGATTTGCTTAATCAAATCTGTAGTTGGCTATTCTCTGTAGTTAGGGGTTGTAGTTAGCTATTCTCTGACTTGCATTCTTGGCAAAAAGTATGCAACCTGAAATGTCTGCGGTATTTTTGTTTTTGATGTGAGTGCTCATTGCCCATAGAGAAATATTATTGATATTTTTAATAACACATTGAAAATAATTTGCATTTCAGAACTCAGTGAAAAATGTAATCATGTAGCATGTTCAAAATTATGTTTTTCACTCAATTCTAAAATACAGATTCCTTTAGTTTCAATGTGTTACTAAAAATATCAGTAATGCTTCTTTGGGCAATGAGCACTAGCATCAAAAACAAAAACACCCCAGGCATCTCAGGTTGCACACTCTTTGCGAAGAATGCAAGTCAGAGAACCAAGATGTTGGACTGGCACTTGGAAAACTCAAGCTTAAATCTATCTTCAGCCGTAGAATTTGCTGGATGATTATCATTCCAACTTACTTTTCAGGGTTATTACTACAGGAAAAATGGAGGGAGGGAGCCCTGTTTTATGCCGGTTTGAGCTGCTTGTGGAAATATGGAATAGAAATTTTAACAAATCAATAGATTGACAGAGTAGTGCTTGATTGTGGTAGCAGAAAATTAAAGTCAAGAGAATTGTGGGCTCCCCTTATATAATAGTGTTGTATTCATTTATTTGTAAGTTAAAGGGATATATTTAAAATATTTGCTTAAGTACCTACCTTTGTCATTAAATGTTCATTCACAAGTCATGTAGAGAAGAATTCTGAATAGTAGGTTCTGTTGTTTCAGTCTGTCTTGCAGATCATAAAGCCACGGGTTCAGGATCCAGTAAACTTCTTGCTGCTGCATATTAATAAAGACTTAGAGCAGCTGATGAATACTCTTGGGAAGACTGCTGATGAAACCACTAATGTCATCCATCTCATTCTGTGTAGCCTTTCCAAGGACCAACATGCAGGACAATGTAAGGAGAGCAGCTTGCTGAATGTTGCTTACATTTCAAGACATAAGATCACATTACATGGTTTAATAATATACTTTAAATCAGGGGTCTTCAAACTTGTCCCTTTTATGACTTGTGGACTTCAACTCCGAGAATTCCTCAGCCAGCCACGCTGGCTGAGGAATTCTGGGAGTTGAAGTCCACAAGTCATAAAAGGGACAAGTTTGAAGACCCTTGCTTTAAAGGAACTGGGAGGACCAAAAGAAATCACTGTCAGTGGGTGATTGGCATACTTGGCTTTTCATCTGATTTCATAGTCACTCATTTCATTAAGGAATTTAGATGTGTTAGATAACTTATGTATGTCCAAAAAGTCTTTGATGCTATTTCCTCATTAACCTGCATAATACTGCATGATAATTGTTGTGATAATAAACAATGAGAGGGAGAAAAAATAATGGTGTGTAAAACTCACCCACCAATATTTTCTGTGGACATATTTTTTTTTACAACCCAGTAACTTGCATTGTTCGTTTTAAATCTTGAGCCCACTGAATTCCATGTGGTTTCTTGTATAGGTTTGGGGAAATCACTTCTGTATCTGTAATTCAACTGTACGTTGAAGTGTTTCACTGTGGAAAGAATATGTAGTCCATGCAGAACTCTTTGTACTATTCTCTTGTCACCATAGCAATATACGGAAGAAAACGGGTTTATTTTATTTCAGAAATTGAGATACACCCCTCTAAAAAATCTCAAGAGTTTTTCTTCTGAGTCAAAGAAGCAAAATAACTGGCTGGTTGGGGGCCAAATAAATACAATACATCTTTTGCAGGGCCAGTACGTTTTGACAGTCAGCTTTCCACGAAGCAGTACAGAAACAATTGGGAAGAAAGTGTTGCACGCACCATTATTCTACCTGAACTAAAGGTAAAAAAAGGGGAAAAATGCTTCCAAAGAATACATTCGTTAGTCAAGACAAATAATCGATATAAAACTATAAATTATTTATTATGAATCTCTCTCTCCTCTCTATATATACGTGTGTGTGTGTGTGTGTGTGTGTGTATGAATAAGTGAGAAATGTGACCGCTAATTCAGCTAAACAATTGTAGGCAACAATATTCACTAATTTTAGAAAGGATTTCTAGCATGCTATTAACAAGCCAAGGCTGACTTTTAAATGAAAGAAGGTTTTATATGCTTTATAGTGCATAAACAGTGACACTGGGCAAAACGTGGGTTAGACATAAAAAAAACAGTATGTTTTCTGTGCTATAGACACAAAGTCAGCTGTCAATACTATCTTGAGTCTATACATCATATTAATGTTATATAAAGGTATTAATTGGGGCTCTATCATGTGTTATATTAATAGTATGTAACGTCAATTGCTAGAAAATAAGAAATTGCTGCTATCTTCCGCAATGATCTGAAATAAGCAAGGTATTAATTAGTTCTGTTTAATTAATTAAGTACGCTTGTGAGGTTTTGTTCATTAGTTTTGAGTATACTTCATGCCAAAAAGAGAGAGAGTTGGCATATCCTCCATTTTACCTTTCCCCCAATCCTATACTTAAGAATGAATATATATATATATACAGCCTTGCATAGAGGCAAACTCAGCATCCCCATGATAACTATAGTGCTTGGAGTGAGCTCTGGATATCTATGTTCCAGATCACTACAGACAAGGAAGATAATGTGTCAGGCTCCCAGGAACCAGGAACAACACATGGAGTTAATCCTGAGTTGTTTCCTTTATTGTTCTTCACCTATAGACAGAATTTTGCTAGACTAAAGCAACTATCTGATAGCTACAACTATCTATATATCTATAGAGTACTCCCTATGCCACTGAGGAGGTTTTTTAATCCTCTTCCTGCCGACCAAACTTTACAATCTCTGCTGCCTGTTTCCCCTTTGGAAAGCAGCCCCAAACTACGTTCCACCAGATATTGAGACACCTTTTGTACCTTAACAACATGGATTTAGTTTTTTAGCTTGATCCAGAATTTGGCAAAAGCTGACCGTTTATATAGCTCTTATTCGGAATAGAGACCTACGGGACACATTTCAGAACCACGGTTTTGAACTATAGCTTTCAAGAAATTATCATTCAGCTTTTGAAAGCTCAGGATATTTGAATTAAAAAAGTTACCAAGGTCAGTCACTGAAGTTATCATTACAGCTGTGCAGATTCCTGGGTGAATTCTATAATTCTGATATTGCTTTTAAAAAGTTGTTTTTATGCATTCTGTTTTTATGATGCCTGTCACACAACATGTCATGTTTTCTAAGCAGCTTTTGGATAAAGCACTTCTGGACTTGAATAAACAAATCAGTGAAGATGAAAGGCTTTCTTCCAACCCTGTAGTGAAAATAATTTATGGGGACCCCACAGTCTTTCTATCCCGTCTTCCTAAGGACAATACTATATACTCCTCTCGGATATGGAGTTGCAAGAAGAGGATCTCAGTCGAGCATCTGGCTCACATTGTCCAACTGAAAGGTGGCAAGGATACTGTGCCCATCTTGCAGAAATTTTTGCAAAAGGTGAGCATGTCAATTACCAGCGGTCAGGTCATGGGATCTGTGAAACAGAAAATATGCATTGCTGGAATCTAGTTGTCAGCTGCTTGTCCTAATTAATTGTCCAACACAAAAACGTGTGTCTGCCGTCTCTTTTTGTTTTAGTTTTATTAATGTAACCACTTTGATCTAGGAGCAGAAATTCTTTTGTCAGCTGCTTGTCAAAAGCCGAGCTACATCAAACCGTGCAGAAACTTTGAAATATTAACATCACAGCTGCAACATAAGAAACCTCTGTGCTGGTGTTTCTATAGCACTGTCATCCAGAGACCCAAATCTGTTCTAAACTTGGAAGGTGCCGAGTCCTGTCAGATTTAGATCAGGCTAGCTTTTTTTAAATTCATGCTTGCACATGTGAAATTAATAGTAAAACTTAATGATGGGACAAATACATGGTTGTTTGATCATTTACTTGCTAATCCAGCTGCTTTCTGGGTCATCCACAGAAATCACCTGCTTTATACCCTTGTAGC